ACATTGATTTCAAAAAGACCTTCGACAGCGTTTAACATCAGCGTTTCCTGCATAAATTGCGAGCGATGGGCATGAGAGACCCGTTATCTACGTCCACTAGTGCCAGGATGTCTCACTGAGGCCGTCCTTGACGCCCTCCATTCAGGAATAGGCCACTGCGACCAGCACAAGATAGAGTTGGCAGTTCGCACGCGCTTCTGATGGCCCAAGCTAAGCACCGCAGTCTATCACTTCTGCCAGTCCTGCCCGATATGCGCCTCCTTTAAACCAGCCATCACTTCCACCCGAGCTCCGATGGAACTTATGACCACCGGCTTCCCCGGCGAGTGTGTCGGCCTGGACATCACCGGTCTCCTGCCAATATCGTTTCGCGGCTACGTATTTATTTTAATAATGATCGATTACTTTACGAAGTGTGTCGAGGCTGTCCCCATCCTACGCCAGGACGCGACGTCGGTCGCAAACGCTATCACTCGCGAATGGGTCAGCCGTTGCGGTTCACCACTATCTTTTCATTCCAACTGCGTATTCAACTTTGAGTCATAACTTTTCCGTGAGGTATGCGAAGTTCTCTCGGACAAGAAGACCCACACTATCCTAAACCATCCCGAGGGCAACGGACTGGAAGAAAGAACGAACCGCACCATCCACTATCTCCTTCTCAGAAATTTCCTTTTTGGTCGTGTCCAAGTTGTCTGTGTAAGACGACAACTTCCAAGACTCACAGTCATAGGGAGTGGAGTCACGTAAGGTCCAGTGCTCGGACCGGCCCTCTTTCGCCTGTTCATTAATGACTGTGTACAGAAAATGGACTATAAGTGCACCATGTTTGCGAGTGATACAAAAATCTAGAACGCCATCTACAATGCTGATGAAAAATCGAACTTCCAAGACAATCTCCGTCGATTGGATGAGTGGTCTCGAAGATGGCTCTTGTCTTTCAACTCGAGCGAATGTACCCCGTTGCATTTGGGGAATCGAAGATAGGTCTCTTATACGCCGTCTCACTCTCTGAACGGAAGGTCAATTCGTGGAGCAGAAACAAAGAGGGATCGCAGCGTTTGGATGGCAGTTACCCTAAAGCCTTCTATGCAGAGCTAAAAGTTAGCTAAAGCAGTAAATCTAATGCTGTACGATTTCAAGTTAGTAGTTTTTCATGAAGCCTGCTTTTTGGTAGGTTCTTGAAGCAGCATCTTGAGTATGCGATCCAGGCCTGGTGACCCTGGACGTAGCAGGATTACAACTTACTCAAAAGGGGTTCAAAGACGGACCACAGAATTAGCAGAAGGTCAAGGTGCACTGCTACCTTTTGCCAAATAGTTGTCGCTCAAACGTTAAACGGTAACTGCAATCATCCACGCCGAAATCAGGAATAGTCACGCTATCAGTGTGAACGGTTCGATAACCAGCGCATAATAACCGATTTCTTACAGGCTCGGTAGACCTCAATCTGATCGAAATGATGCTCACAGAAATGGCTTTGATTTTTTCTGCAGCGAACTGTATTAGGGGAACGATATTTGTTTTGCTTAAGTGTACCGGAATATTGTGGCCCCAGCATGGAGTGACGAAACTACCTTCCAATTGACAGCAGATAATAAAATCCATTGAAGCAAACGAAGTGCCGGAATCAGGTTAACTCCAGGAGGAAGCTGCAATCTCCGAAGTATTTTTGATTAGCCGGCGGATGTGCATGGAGCCAGAAAATAGAGGAGGAATGCTGATCAAAGTTCATGATAATGGCCTGTTTGCCTATTGATTGAACGTGATTTGTTCTTTAATCTTCACATTTAAAACTGGACCATAGTAAAGCATTTAGCCAGTAGTAAAGTGCCCACCTTCAGGCCCTTTTATTTGATTTAGGGACTTGTGGCGTATAGCAGACAAGATGCTATTAGTTTCAACGATTGCAGGAAAATCACAACGACAGAAAGATGAATCACCCCCAATATAGGCAAGCCAAGGTAAGATATAAGTAGCAAACAGTGTCAGAAAGTTCAAAAAAGCCAGGCATGGAGATAAAAATGATACCAGCGCGACCCCTCTTTAGCTTTTTGGGGGCAAAGAAAGGTAGAATAGTATAGCGATGGAAAGAAAATGTTTAAACTCATTTTCTGTGGAAGGATAAAACAAACCTTAGTTGCCCTATAAATTCCTACAATCATAAGGGTCATTGATAAGGGCCATGATACTGTTACAGATGCAGACGGTTAGCTAAAAAATAAATAACTTTTACATTTGAGGTGCCGAGAGGGTGCTGGAGCAAGAGATGGTGTTTATATTTGCAGAATATGAATCAGACTTGGCCTTTTAGCTAGTACCTAGGCTATTAGTATGGTAAGTTGCAACATCAATTTATATCAATAAAGTCTGTCTGTCGGCAGCATGTGGCTATTTTGCAGTAGTTGACTGGTTTCAACCCACATATACACTTATAATTGCGGTCTTCGCCTATAGACCTTAAATACACTGGTGTATACCGCAAACAGAAATTAATTTCTCGGGAAATTAAA